AATGCCTCTATCAGGAAGCTTACATGAAAGACTATATAGCTGATTCTGTCTATTAGGAATTGCACAGCATTGATTCGTCAAAATTGACCACCACCAATAATTTCTAGAAATGAGAAATTGATCTAAGTGGAAAAATCCATGAGGTCTAAATACGTATCTCCAGGGTGGTTAGCTGAGCTATTGTTAGGGAGGACACTCGACTTCTACTTCTCTCTTTTAGTTTTGTGAATTTAAATCATAAGCCTCTGAGGATACTGGGAATGGGGTACTGAAATCAGCACTTGCTTCTTCTTCCCAATATTTGTCCATTCATTTTTTAGAAGCCATTGAAAGCTGAAAACAAACATTATATTTTATATGATGACATCTCTTGACATATTGCTATTAACTCTATTCCTCTGGAGAATTGCATTATAGTCTTGCCCAACTGCTGATATTACATTTGTCCTCTATTTGTCTCATTGAAAACAATTTCTTTATAAGTACATGTTTGGCTACAATAACATGTTAAAGCAGACACATAAAAAGACTCAAGAATTGAGCTTGTGAGTATATATCTTTCTAGGTGATTCTGAGATCCACACAGAGAAGTGTCAGAAATGCTATAGGGACTGAGGGAAATTGCACTCTATAATTATGCATGAGGAGTCACTCTTATGAAATCCTAAAAAAAGAATAACACTTTAGTTGTGAGGATTTCACCTAAAACATGAGAGTGTAAACAAGCAACACTGAGTTCCTCTTGGTCTAGTTAGCACTCTCACCATTTGTTTTCCTTGTCATCTATGGTGAATCTCTTCAGATCTATAACTACAGCAGGTATATATCCTAACTTAGGTGAGTATTTGAAGATAATACTGAAATAAAAACAGAGGAAGCTTATATGTTAAGATACTTAGATTCTTAGCATTTTTCTTAGATCGATTCTTCACTTTTGCTAATCTCTACCCTTCTTCTTCATGCAGATAGACACCTGAAAACAGAGCAAGTGAATTTGCATCTGCATTATGTTTTGTGCATTTTTTATACTAAGCAGATACAGGTAAGACAAAATGCTAATTAATTTTCTATATGGTATATTTAACAGTCATATTTTGAGGACAGAAGGAAAAATGTTTAACTTTGTCTAGACTATTAGGAGATTGTTTATAGAGAAGGTGATATTTGAATTAAGAGTTTAATAATAAATAAGTAATAGTCAGATGGGAAAGGCAAGGAAGGGCAGGAGAATGCCTAAAGGAAACATTAGAAGCACAGAACGTATAAGAAAATAGTTGTAGAATTCTAAATTAGTTTATTGAATTCTAGCATATATTTGTTATGACTGATAGATTTGTAAGGGTGATTAAGTGAAAGTTATGAGTAATATTAATTGCACATAGGAAAATTACATCTCCTATTGATAAGCATTTAGTCACTGAATGTATGGATTTGAAGAAGTGATTGGCTATCCAATTTTCTTCTAGAGAAACTGAGCCCCCCCCCCCACATGTACAATTATACATAATAAAAGATCTCTTCATAGGAATCCTGAACTATTGAGATATATTGGTCATATGACTGGCAAATGGGATTAAGTAAAAACACTTGAATCTAAAGTCCAAATTTGATTTTATTTTTTTACGACTTCTCCCTGTTCCTTGAAGTAGAGACTCTTCACCAAGATGGAATTGTTTAAGAGGTAGTTTAATATATGTGTCCTGTGTTCAGGTTAGATGTATGTAGAGGTGATATTTACTTACTGTTAACCGTAGTTAGATGACTGGGCAATACTGCTGGGGAGAGGGATATATAAAATGAATGGAAAGAACCACAGAGAGGAATATGGTCTTCAGTGGAATTCGCAGCATCAACAACATAAAGAGAGTCAGATAGAGCAACAAAGGAGAGTGTTTTGAGATAGAAAAACAGGATAGAGTATGATTATAGAAACTAAATATGTGTTTTAAAGAGAAAATGATGTAAAGCACTATAGAAGTATCAAATTAGAAGAATCCTTTAAAAAGTTTATTGTGTTTGGATAGAATTTCATTTTGATTTTTTCCTCCCGGAAAAATAAAGTTTAAAAAGATGTAGAAGCAAATGCATATGGCAATGATTTGATTAATCTCAAACTGATTAGCAAAATATGGCAAGTTATCATTAAGAATTATAGGGGCAATTAAAATGAAATAAAGAATATTATCAAGATAACAGTGCGTTTTATAAGAAAATGTAATTAAACCTGGAATATATTTTATCAGAAAAGAAATAATTAGGAAATTAATACATGACAAAAATGCAGGGCTTAGGAGAAGCTAATAAACAGACAAAAACATCTAATTTCTAGGGTAAGAAGAGTAAGGGACGGTAAGTAGATACAAGAATATATTCAGGGAAATTAGCTGGAAGAGATTCCTTTCCTACTGGAGCAGAGATAAAAAATGGAGACTTAGTAAAATTGTAACAAACATTTTACAGCTGATAGAGATAAGATATTACAGAGCTTGGAAGAAAAGGAGAAATTTATGAATAAAAATGCCAGGGAATTCAGAGCTACATAAATTTTAGTAGCAACCTTTCCATAATTGTGATTTTTTTTAAATATCACCGTGTTTCTTTATTGGAGAAACTGAATATATAGATTATAATGTGAGATCTTCAGGCACATGGTGGTAGGTAATTCCAGGAGCAAGGCTATGTGTCAGGCAACCAAGGAGTAGTTAATGTGTTATAATGAATAAAATGTTAGAGAAGAATGTGAATTAGGAAGAGGCAGTGATGGCAGCAATGGTAAACTAAGAGAACATGGGTTTCACATTAAGAACTTCTGTGAAGGTATGAGGAGTTGAAGATAAGATTTAATGAGGGAGAGGTAAATGACAAGAGAGCTTAGTGTGTTCCTTCACTAGCAAAGATGAGTGGGGATTTAGAGAAATAAACAAACCAACAAATAACCTTTTGAATTTACACCCTATGAGAATAAGGGAGTAATACAGTAGACTGCATTTTAGGCTCACTTACAATTGAATGTCCACGATGCCTGATAATAATTTTGCACAACCCTATTGAAGAAAGAGAAACTGTATTCACCCATCATGAGTAAAATGTGAACCCCAAACTGGGTGAAATGACTGAGTTCTAGAAAGAATTTGGAGGAATAGTAATTGAATAGATCTCTCTTCCTGAACTATTTTATAACAATAGAAACTGACTCCTCAGATATTTATCTCTCAGTGGAATTAGCTGCACACAAAAAAGAAAAGTGGTCAAAAGTAAATGTTCTTTAAAGAAAAATATAAATTGTAAGGCTTTGGAGTTTTTGCCAAGTATAAGATTCTAGGATACTGGGTTATAATAAATCTCCATAGAAATCAGCTTTCTCTCTGGTATTATGTCACCCTCAGAACAAAGCTTCCTTCAGGTGGTGTTGACTCTTTCATGGTGTGGTCATAGATCAATCCTGGCTCTGTCATAGCTAATAGAAAATAGCAAAGAAAGTGATCAGCAAGTGTGAAACATTCAAGATGGAAAGGTGACAAGACCATTTCCCTGAAAATCAAAATTATTTCTTCTCACTTTGAAGAAAATCAAGAATCAGTACATATTACTGATAATTGTAATGAGTCTGCTTGGACAAATTTCCTAAATAAAAATGTGTGTGTTTATGATGAACTAGCAATTGAATAGTAAGGATTAGGAGGTAAGAATTAGTCAGAGGAATAGCAAAGATTAGAAATAGAATAATTAGATCAATCCAGAGAGCCAAGAAGTAGTTTTTGTTCACGCAGATTCAGGGAATATATGAGAGCTAAACTGATAGAAGGACTACTAATTAGTGATTACATATTTATTTGCATCCTGGACTACCCAGTGATCACTTAAACAAATGCTTACAATAGTGGAGAAGTGAGGTTTTCAATGACTCGGTTCTTCAAAACCAAAATAATCTGGATGAAAACCATCTATGTTTTGGATATATGTGCATTTAATGTCCTTTTATAGAAGTATACGTTCAGACTTAACATTGTATTTTTGTTGAAATTCAAGAAATAAGGGAGTAGTTTTTGTTCATATATCTAAACCTTGCCTTGGCGTAGCCTCCATGAGTAGAGGCTCTTGAAGTAGAAAAATGACCAAGAATATTTATTGCAAATATCAATAAATCTTTTTCTAATCATAGAGCAAGATCATTATTAGTTTTGAAACACAGGATATGGATGTATGCTAGAGTCTAATCATAGGATCAAATATTCTTGTGTAAAAATTGAGGTGAAAAATAGACAAATAATGTCGGCCTCACTTTCTGATTAAGTTCTGTAGCTTTATTGTTTGCTTATCCAGACCCTGCTCAGAGCCCCACATATAGAAGATATGCAATGGAAGGATATTTAACTTAATTATGTATTAATTGTATGCCTAATTTCAATATGTGAGAGAAAATTATGAGCTTACAAGGAATTGCACTAGTGCTTAAATATGAGAATTGCCAGCAAATACATATTTGGATCATGGACTACCACTTCCAAAGCAGAATGAATAGCAGCAGACAGGAAATGGAGTCATCTAATAATATTCAAAGGTGCTTGTAAAAAATATATTAAAGCTTTTTTTAAAAAATTTTAGTCAGAAATTATATTATAAACTGAACAAGTATAATTTCTTATTTAATATTTCATAGTATATTTGAAGTTTATTTAATATTACATAGTATATTTGAAGTTTCATAAACCTGGTTTTGATATTTTCTGATTTATTTTACTAAAATAATCTTAAATAATACCATTTTTTTTGTAAACATATGAAAAATAGAGATATTATTAATTGGTCAGATTGTGATAATAAAAAACTTCCTGGATAAACAACTACAGTAAATTTTAATTTTTGGCTGTTACTCGGTAAAAATTTTCCCAGTTCGAATTTTGCAGAAATCAGGGTGAGAACAGAAAATAGAAGAGAGACACTCAGCACTTGCTGCCACCTGGAACCAGAAGCTCTAAAACAGGGAGTTCTAAGCCAACATGCTCAATCTCAATGGCACAGTCTTCATGCCCTCAGTGCTGACACTGATCGGGATTCCTGGTCTGGAGTCTGTTCAATTCTGGATTGGCATTCCTTTCTGTGCCATGTACATCGTTGCTCTGTTTGGGAATTCCTTGCTCATGATCATCATCAAATCTGAGCGTAGCCTCCATGAGCCCATGTATCTCTTCCTTGCAATGCTTGGGGCTACAGACATTGCTCTCAGTACCTGCATCCTGCCAAAAATGCTAGGAATATTCTGGTTTCACCTGCCAAAGATATACTTTGATGCTTGTCTCCTGCAGATGTGGCTCATTCACACCTTCCAGTGTGTTGAATCAGGAATTCTGCTAGCCATGGCCCTGGACCGCTATGTGGCAATCTGTTATCCTTTGAGACATGCAACCATTTTTACTCACCAACTTCTCACTCAGATCGGAGCTGGGGTGACACTCAGAGGAGCCTTCCTTGTGGCTCCATGTCTCATCCTCATCAAATGCCGGCTGAAAAATTACTGGACAACTCTGGTCTCTCATTCATACTGTGAGCATATGGCCATTGTGAAGCTGGCAGCAGATGATATTCGAATCAACAAGATCTATGGTCTGTTTGTAGCTTTCAGTGTACTTGGCTTTGATATAATCTTCATCACACTATCCTACATCAGAATATTTATAACTGTCTTCAGTCTGACTCAAAAGGAAGCCAGACTCAAAGCCTTTAACACCTGCATTGCCCACATTTGTGTCTTCCTTGAGTTTTATCTCCTGGCTTTCTTCTCCTTCTTTACTCACAGGTTTGGGTTCCATATCCCACCATATCTTCATATTCTTCTGTCCAACCTTTATCTGCTTGTTCCGCCTTTGCTCAATCCTATTGTGTATGGTGCAAAGACCAAGCAGATTCAAGATCGAGCGTCCAAGATGTTCCACTGTAAGGATGTTTCTTGATTTCTTATTATCTTATTTTATAGCAAATAACAAAACATCAGTCAGAGAAACCATTGTTTTTAGAAAGTTTTTGTGTTTTCTCAAGTTCATTGTGTGCTAAAATATAGAGTTGTTAAATTTCCATTCGAAACAGTAAGGCTCTAAATGCTAAACAATTTTAGTTTTTATAGCTATGAAATTAATTCATCAATAAATAAAATAGGCAGAAATCACCAAGACTTATTTGTTGTTCAGTTATAAAGTTATTTCCTCAATCTTTCCACACTCAAATATAAGTGGTTAGCATCTGAGTGAAAATATTGAGTTTGTGTATTTTTTATTTTTATTCATTCATTCATTCATTCATTCATTCATTCATTCATTTATTCATTTTATCCTCACCTGAGGACATTTTTGTATTTATCTTCAGATAGAGTGGGAAGGAGAGAGGGGGGAAGAGAGAGAGAGAAATATTGATGTGAGAGAGATACATGGACCCCAACCAGGGCCGGGAACAAACCGCAACTGAGGTACGTGCCCTTAGTGGAAATCGAATCCAGGACTCTCTGGTCCACAGGCCAATGCTCCAACTGCTGAGCCAAATGGGCCAGGGCTGTGGTTGTTGTTTTTTTATAAACAGAATAAATTCAGTCTAAAGTTGAGAATTCCACTGATAATGAACAAACTTGTATTTGTTTTATTTTGATTGCCTTCCTCTTTTTCTTTACCATTTCTCTAATTTTTGCCATTGAAGTCTTCAAATATTTTCTGTCTTATAATACAGTATCTGTAAACTAAGAAGTTTCAGATTGTCAGTTTTTCATTTCAGTACAAATTATATATTTTATTTTTAGAACATATTGAGATTTGCAGAAATTTGAATATATAATACTGAGAGTTCCCATAGATGCCACACACAGTTTTTCATATTATCATCTTAGTATAGTATATTTGTTACCTTTAGGAAAACAATATAGATACATTATAATTAACTAAATTACATATTTTTTTTTCAAATATATTTTTTACCTAATTTCCTTTTTTTGATCCAAGATATCATCCAGGATGCCACATTGTATTTAGCTGTCACATCTCCTCAAGCTTCTTTTGATGGGAAAAAACTTTGGAGGAAAACAATTTTTATTTTTCTGAGCTGCTGCCAGGCATTTTACAGTGCGATGCTCACACCCAAGTCTGGACATTTAGGTTATGACTTGAGTTAAGATTCCAGCCATAAATTCCCACTTCAGTTTTCCTGGGGCACCTTTGAAAACAATCATTAGAGTTAAGTCCAAGAAAAGTTAGTGACCTCCATTCCAACAATCTTTTAAGTAAGATGTGCTTGTTGCCCTGCTCTGTATCCCCTCCTAACCTGTGACCTGGAGCAGAGGACTGCCCTGCCCCCAGCTTATTGAATCCCCACCTCTCATTTTTTGGGATCTTTAAGTAATACATCTTTGTGAGTCTATTTCCCTTTTGTGGGTGTTTTTGCATGTGGCTGGGCAATTGTTTCAGCACCATTTGTTGAACAGACTAATGTTTCTCCAAAATTGCTATTGCTCTTTTGTCAAAGATTAGTTGACTATTTGTGTGGGTGCATTCACTTCCCCCAAGTGGGAGCTCAGATGGCAAGGGAGATACCTGCTGTTCTTATGTGGGTGGCTTGTGCCTCCTTATTCAGCAGGTCATTATCCTCATGTTCTCAATTTCATGCAGCAGCTGGGTTTCTCAGTCCACTTCTCTTGGCTGTAAATTTCTGAGATGGTCCTTGTTTCTAATGACTTTGACAATATCAAAGAGTACTAATCAGGTACTCATAGGAAATCCTTCTATTAAGTTTTACCTAATGTTATTTTACTTAGAATAGAATTATATGTTTTTGGGAGGAAGATCATAGATGATAAAGTGCATTTTGATTGCATCAAGTGTACATAAAATCAGCATGATTTATCTACTGCTTATGTTGACTTTAATTAGTTGTCTGAAGCAGTCTTTTTAAGACTTTTCCACTTTACAGTTAGTATTGTTTGAATTCCCATTTCAACATTGTAGTTTTTAGAGTGAAGTCTTTATAGGCAGCCCCCACATATGTTTCTTCTCCCTGAGTATGGAGTAGCTAAATAATTTAGTAATTTATTTGAAATTATTCTACATGACCAATTGGTTTATTCTTCTTATTTATTCATTTATTCAATTTATTTATATCAGTGTGGATTTATTATTATTTTTATTATAATGTAGGTCATAATCTAATATTACTATATTTTATTGCTCAAGTTGTTCCAATTTGACCATTGTGAGCTTCCTCTCCTTTCTGATATGCCCGGCATTGTAGTGTGTGTGTGTGTGGAGCACTTACGTGATGGCATTAAAAGTTGCTCCAGGCTCATCTTGGATATTTCCTGAACTGGGCCATAGGTATGCTCGTTGCTACCTGTATGTCTTTCTCTTTGGTTCTCCCAGCTTACAGAGCAAGGAATTTTGTGTGTATGCTAACTTGTGTATACGTTAACCTATGTATAAGAACGTAGCAATAACTATTTCTATATTTAACCATTTGTATCAAAATTAAGCCACTTTTAATTTGTTAATGATATCTGCCCCTTTAATTTGTTACCCTCTGAATCTTTCTGGCCTCTTCTTGATTATCAGTAAATTTCCCGTCCAACAGTGAAAAACCTGCTTTCAACCATTTGTTACCCATTTATTTAATTGGTACTTTTTCAGTACAAAGTCCTGTAGGATTTCATAATTTTTACCCCTGTGAGAAAAACTATATCAACTATAGTAAAGGGTTTATTGACAGTCCTTTCCCTTTGAGTTCTAACACTCGACTTATTTCCAAAGCCACTTAGATCAGTGCCTCTTCCCACCATCCCCTTCAGTGAGGGAATCTCATACATCTACCATACAATTAGACCTTTTTTGTTATAGTCTGCATCCCTCTGGGAATCTTCCAACATCTTAAATAATTACATTTCTTTTCAGGTCCACTCTATGGTTTAATGTTTTGTGTTTGTTATTTATTTCTTTATTTCAATCCTCACCCAAGGATGTTTTTCCATTTGTCTCAGATAGAGTGGGAGGGAGGGAGAGAGAGAGAAACATCAATGTGAAAGAGATATATTGACTGGCTGCCTCCCGCACAACCCCGACAAGTGCCAGGGATAAACCGCAACCAAGGTACATGCCCTTGACAGGAATCGAACCTGTGACTCATTGGTCCGTAGACCGATGCTCTAACCATTGAGCTAAACCAATCATGGCTAAAGTTTTGTGTTTTTTTTAAATGCATAGTCACACCCTGGCGGGTTTGGCTCAGCGGTTAGAGCATTGTCTCGCCGACCAGACAGGCCCAGGTTTGGTTCCCTCTAAGGGCACATACCTTGGTTGAAGTTTGTCCCCAGCCCGGTTGGGATCATGTGGGTGGCAGCCACCTGATGTGTCTCTCTCACATCAATGTTTCTCTCTCTCTCTTCTACCTTCTCTCCCTCCAGCTCTATCTCAAAATAAATGCCAAAAAAAGGCCCTCGGGTGAGGATTAAAAGTAAATGCATAGTTACAACCCTGGTTGATGTTGCTCAGTGGTTGGCACATTGGCCCAAGTTCAATTCCTGGTCAAAGGCATGTAACTGGGTTGCAAGTTCAATAGATGTGTCTCTCTCACATTGATGTCCCTTTCTCTCTCTCCCTTCTTCTTTTCCACTCTGTCTAAAGAAAAAAATCAATAGAAAAAATGGTCTCAGTGAGGATTAACAAAAATAATGCACAGTCATGTATTCACTATCACAGTGTTATACAAGAGTTTCATCAACTTTAAAATCTTATGAATTTCTAGTATTATCCTAAGAAAAACAAGCCAAACAGAGAAAGACAAGTATCATATGATCTCACTTATTTGTGGAATATAATGAACATAAATAACAGCCTGAGGAATGGGGTAATCCAAGAGACATGGAAGTGGAGTACAGACAGACAATCCCCAGAAGAGGGGTCGTGGGGGAGAGATAAACCACAGAACTTATATGCATGTACACATGAACAGTGGACATAGACAACAAAGCTGGGGACAGGGTGGGGAGGGAGGGGGAAGAGGGAATCAGTACGGGGGGGGGGGGGAGAAACATCTGTAACAAAAATAAATATATTAATTAAAAAAAAGAAGAAAAAAGACTAGTAGTAGGGAAAAAGTACTGACTTTATCCATTTTTGTTATTGAAAGGCTTTGGAAATATTATTTTGCCAAATTAAAACTAGAATTATCAAGTCAAGCAAGTTAAAATAAATAAATAAATAAATAAATAAATAAATAAATAAATAAATAAATAAATAAATTAATTTGGGTTTAAAAAAAATCTTATGAATTTCACCTATTCATCTGTAGACAAGTGGTTTGTGAAGGGACAGAGTAAACATGTTAAGGTTTTTTAATCATGTGATCATTCTCCTAATTGCCACTTCAGCAGGTCTTTGACTATGTCCTTTCACTGAATGTATTTTTCCTATAACATTGATGAGATGTCACAGGAACTTAATTCTTGTTTACATCAATTAGCCTAAGGTTAAAATGAGTTCCAATCCATGGTGTTTCAGTTAAAGTTTCAGAACCTATTGATAATGTTAAATGAGGACTTATTGTATAGGACAAAAGCTTCCCTAGACAATACAAAGATCAATGGATATGATGGCACTCCAATCAGATTTTATTCACACAAAGAAGCAGCAATATGGATTTAGCCTATGTGCTATAGGTTGTCCCATGGACTGGTCATATTCATATTCTGTGTGATTGACTAAGAGTAACATTAGACTCTCTAGGTGCAAAGTACAGTGTAGCCATTTAGTAAAATATTAAGGTTTTTAAAAATTTTTTTAATATGTTTTTATTGATTTTGTAGAGAGAGAAAAAGGGAGAGAGAGATAGAAACATTGATAAGAGAGAACATCGATCAGCTGCCCCCTGCATGCCCCCTTTTGGGGATCACGCCCACAACCTGGGTATGTGCCTTGACCAGGATTCG